GGCACAAACAACGAGCTCATTGAAGTAAAGAATTGTTGTTATGTTAAATAATTAGGAGGATACATAGAAAACTTTAGCATTGTGCTTTTTTACAGACTTAAAATATGAGTGTAAAAAACGGTAGTAATGAGGTAATGTTAAAATGGATTTATTTATTTTTTGTTTTCATAAAATTGGTATCAAAAAAAGTATCATTCAGGAACCGTTATCGGTATCAACAAAAATGAACGATACCCAGCCCTTTGAACAACATCTCCAAAGTTACAAGTTACAGAACCAAAACAATATTATGGAGTTGTGATGGAGATATAAATTTATTTTAACAAACATGATATTTAGTGTACATTTAAAGAACACTATTCTTATGACAAGTACAATTGGTCTTCGATTGTATCATTCAGATCATAAAAACAACGCATAGCACCTCACTATCATGGTAAAAAGTAACAGTATGGTTTTTATGGTATCTATGATGGCTTTGGATCGAGTAAAAGAGTGAAGGTTTGTACTGTAGTTATGTTTAACTGATTAAAACGCAAGCCTTTAAAATGCAAAACAAAGGCAAACACTTTCAAAAGAAGAGCTGTTCAGGGGGAACGCGGTTACCATCCCAACACTCACTGGCTGTGCACACATCCAGATGACTTCATCAGCTCCCCTGGGAGTTTGAACCCACAAACAGTTCTTTATTCCTCTAACCTTTGAGGTCAGTAAAAAACATTTTTGAAAAGAAATTATTTCTTTTATACAGAAAGGACACATAAAATTGGTCAAAACAGTGATAGTACAGATATTTATAATGTTACAAAACATTTCTATTTCAAATAAATGGTGTTCTTTTTAACTTTCTATTCAAGGAATCCTGACCAAATTAGCATTTTAGAATGATTTCTGAAGGATCATGAGACACTGAAGACTGGAGTAATGACGCTGAATAACATCCATTCTAAAACTAGAAAAAAAAAGTCATTTTGAATTGTAATATTATTTCATAATTACTGTATTTTGATCAAATAAATGGAGCCTTGGTGGGCATAAGAGACTTCTTCTGAGCATCAAAAAATCGTAACGACCCCAAACCAAGTCGGCAAGCGAGACGCCACATTAAGTCAGAAATAAACTATTATTTAAGTACAAATACAAGGATTAGGCTACAGAGCATATGTATGTCAAACCTCAAGATGACTAAACTTCCAAACACAACGATGTGCTGTCTGCATCTTCAAAAACATTTCATTTCTAGAAATACTATACAGTCACAGATAAATGTCACAGTCCATTTAGCAGAACAGTTCATTAAAGTGCATTCATTCATTTCCATCCTATAAGAGCTGGAGTGACCTGACCTGTCTGCCTCTATGTAAACAATAACTTTTTCTAAACCAACAGCAATCAAACATAATAAATGGTATCATTTTAAACATTCAAGTATTATGATCCTTCAACAACTAAGGCGAGCTGTGACGTGATTTCATTCGTTCCAACCAGAAATGTAGGAACGTTGACAGAATTGCAAGTTCCTACATGAGACGGTAAAAATTAGGCTGTGATAACTCATCAGCAGTCACTCTTTTAGACTGGTCGGCCGGTGCTTTAAAGAGAGACAGAAAGGAGGAAACGGTTTTGACAGATGAACGGTCCTTTGAAGCCCAAGCGGCCCAAGCACTAAACTACACACACACACGCTCTTGAATCAATTTTCTGCACTGAATTGTGGTGTTAAAACAATCCTAGCTGCTCAAAACCATGATTACCAAGCATTGAGCAACACAAAACACAGTCATGGTCTAGAAATGCTCCAAACAGACATAAAAAAACAAATTATGACAACTCATCGCAGAGAAGTTTCTTTAGACGCCTCCAGGGCTTCCTTTATTTTTACACCGAATATGTGGAGGCGAAATTGCACAAACCAAGCGGCTTAAAATAACAAATCCTTTTTTTGGATATTTAAGGAGTTGAAGACGTTAAAATGTTAATAACAAGAACTAAAGTTTAATGCTATGGAAAACAAAACAGATTATTTCTGAATGCCTTCAGGAGCAGAATTTAGTGAGACTGGAACAGACTTGTAAAGCGCTTAATGCTGAATTTAGTGAACAATCGTTCAAATGAATGACTGGAGGCAGCGGAGTTCACCTTGTCTGTAGCCCCAGGTATGTGCACACTACTAATCCTCCAAAAACCTAAAATTATGTACCATTTGTCCAGTGCAGAGATGTCAAAAACCAATCAAAATCCAAAATGTTTTCAATTAAGAATGAGCAATGCTCTACTAAAACCAGCAGAAGGCATTTTCCAAAACTAGGGGCATACTAAATACTGTTTATAAACCTGATTTTGTTATTTTCTAGGAATGCATTAGATATGTTTTTTTTTTTTTTTTGGTTTTAAATGTGCAGTAAGCGATTTCTGAGAAACGCTGTTGATTGTGGATCGGACCGAGCATCACAACGCAGCTATGGGCAACCGAGGTTGAGTTCTTTCTGCTCCATACGCGATTAACATAGGTTTTCACAGAACCAAGTTACTGTATGTTTGATCGTAATTTTCGCAAAGCACCATATTGCTTTCGCTTCAGCTATCATAAAGAGATAAAGAGGTATCCACTCTTGAATTGAATGTTTGTGCATTTTGGGGGCGGAGCAATAAAGGGAGGGGTGTGTTTGGGTTGATTTCAAATATCAACAGTGTTTCTAAGAAATTGCTTACTGCCCCTTTAATTAGTAGTGATTAGCTATTAGCTAAAAGGAGTCGAAATAATATTTAATCAAACAGTTATTTTTAGGCAAAATCATTCCATTCATACTCTTATTATTTTTACCAAATTTGTAGGCTTTAACATTTACTCTAATCTCAAAAATGTCTATTCTCAACAACTATACTTTATACACAATATTCTGCAGGTCGTGCATAAATAATCATAAGAATGATTTGCTCTGAAAAAAAAAAAATGCAAATCCCAACCTTAAATAGCCTGACTACGTCACACTTCCTACTTCCGCTATTTTCATTTCACTCCTGTAGTCAGTCTGAGATAGCAGCCTATCTTTCAGTTTTCCAGCGGCTTTCGGACGGACGGCCAATCAACGAACAGAGGGCGGGCTGAGAGCCGTGACGTAGACGCTTAGCGCCAAGTTTTACATTGTAGGTTAGAGAAATCGAATGGGAAACGAGACAGTCCAGGGTTTTCAAACTGAAGCCAGAACCAGGATAGAGGAACAAAGAGCTGTGTTTAACAGATCTAATCCTAAATTTGAGAGTTGGCTTCAAATATTTTCTTGTTTCACTCTGGCAAAAATAAGTTTAGAGGCCGTGATTGTACTGTGGATGCTAGGGGTGTAACGATACCCTCATGCCACGATTCGATACATAACGATACTGATACAATATTATTGCGATACTCCAAGACATATGATAAAAGGTTAACAGAAAATGTACTGTTGATTAAAATGCTAACTTTGATATTACATTGTGGGTTTAGGTTTAGAATTGATGCTGGTAACCCAATGCTCAGGACAATGGTAGCACCAGATTAAAAATATTCATGATTCTGAAGCTGAAAATACAGAATTATTTTAGACAAATATTCTTGCTCTCTGTCACTGACTAGATATATTTAATATAATGTCAGCCACTTTTTACAGGTAACATCAGACATTTGGTATTATCAGGAAACACAAAATTATACATTAAAATCAACATAATGTATAGTAGTTTAACTTAATGTAGTACTGACACTAAAACTCTTAAAAAATGAATTTTTTTCTCACACAGTATTTTTATTTTGGGGGAACTATCCACGATACATATTGTCACTCACTATCCACGATACATATTGTTGCATTTTTGTATTGTGATATATTGTGGCACGATATATTGTTACACCCAAAGTGGATGTGTAAATTAACTTAGCATAATCTGCTAAAGTCGTTTACAGCCATTTTCACTCCGGTATTTCGCTCGCATCATCAAGTTTTTACAGCAGGTGGAAGTTCGATCATAGATTTGAGTTCAATGCATGATGTCTGTGGATAGATGTGGCTGTGTAGGCACATAACATACGTCATAAATAAATTTATCTGATTGGCTTACGGGTAACCAATGATTTTAAACTTCAGACAAGCGAGAGAGAAAACACTTCTCTATTATGCCATTCCAGACTCTGTCTACGAAGCAAAGTGAAGTAGCAGAGTCTGGTATTACCAGGCTAAACCTTAAATGTTAGCTGCTCTGGAGCTTAGCCACTGAAGTCAACTATTTTCAAAACCCTGTTAAAAAAAAAAAAAAAAACATCATACCAGTAAAATGTTTGGACAGTACCAAACTGGTGCTCTGTCAAGACAAACTAACAACTGACACACTGCTTTTAAATTTGAAAATTTGGAATGATCCACTTAATATGCTCTCATCTTCATGATTCCACATTTGTGAAGCCCTGTTAATGCGTAAAATGATTGATAGACAGAAGGTGCATCGGTTAACCAAAAAAAAAAAAAAAAAAATTAAGGCATAGGAATTCTGTCTTCATTTACTGAACCTCATGTCGTTCCAAACTCATAAGACTTTTATTCGTCTTTGGAACGCAAATGAATACATTTTTCAAATGAAAATCTGAGAGATTTCTGTCCCCCCATTGAAAGTCTATTCACACAAATGTCTGACGCTCCAAAACATTAATAAAGAGTTGTAAAATAAATCCATATGAATTCAGTGGTTTAATCCAAGTCTTCTGAAAAGACATGTTTGCTTTATGATGAACAGATATTTGAGTGAATGTATTAATGAAAATGTACTCAAATCCAAATGGATTTATTTTGTAATTACTTTATGAATGTTTAAACAGAAAAATATCTTCATTTTGTTACGAAGACAAATTAAAGCCTTATGGGTTTGGAGCAACATAAGAGAAGGGGTTAAAGCGACTTGAATTTCCTGCCATTCTAAGGGGGGAAAAGCACAATTGAAACACCTGGCAAATGGGATCTCCGTAAACTCACCCTCCTTCACTCTCTGCCTCTTCCGAGCTTTGTCCTTCAGTTCTCTCTGGGACACCAGCTCTTTTTCTTCTGGCGGGAGTTCGATGAAGTGGACTCGCCTTGTGAGCACCAATTTCTTCCCTGCTCCGGCCCCTAAGCTGATCTCTGACGTTGTCCTGCAGGTGTGGAATTGCCTCCTTCAGGGCTTTTACCTCCTCTTTGAGCTCAGACACACAATGTATCAGAGCACCCAGCCGATCCAGCACTTCGGCCTGGCCCGTCTGCAGACCCAGACTGCCTCCCGTGTGATCTGCATTGCTGCTCAGGTGTACGACTCTGCCCCCACCTGCTCCAACTTTCCGGAAGTAGGCGATCGCCAGGCTGATCCCAGCAGCCCCTGCCAGAACGCCCAAAGCCAGAGCCCTGCTGTCTGCTTGAGCCATCCTAAACTGTAGACACAAGAAAGAAAGAGAAAGCCCAGTGATTTAACACTTCACATCCAATGCACATAAGTATTCTGCTAATATTATGCAAACAAACAAATACATGATCCTAAGGGACAGCTAGTTTAACAAGAAGATCATTCCATGGCTTGTTCAATAAATAATTAAAAGTGTAGGTTAAAAATAATATAATTCACTTAGAGAAAGTTTGTATCTAATTTCCACATTTTATTTCACCAAAATTTCACTTTTCTTGCATTTCAATTGCATAGCTATACACTATGTCAAAATACATTTTGATATAGTAAAGAGAAGAACAAACTGTATTTGTTTGTTTATTTACACTGTATTTGTATAGTTTTTTTTTTTTGAGTGAATAAATAATTATAATTAAAAATATATATATGTACAGGGTGAATAACATCTAAATAACTACTAATACGGTGATTTTTTTTTGTTTTTAAAATAAGTCTCTAGTCTCTTATGCCAACCTAGGCTGCATTTATGTGATGAAAATTAAGGAAAAAAAGAAAGAAAAACAGTAATATTGTGAAATATTAAAATAACTTTTTTATATTTAAATATATTTTTAAATGTAGCCGAGGCCTAATTTATTCCTCTGATGGCAAAGCTGATTTTTTAGCATCATTACTCCAGTCTTCAGTGCCACATGATCCTTTAGAAATAATTGTAACATGTTAATTTGATGTTAAAAAAAAAAAAAAAAAAAAAAAAAAAAAAAAAAAACATGTATTATTATTAATGTTGAAAACTTTAAAGTATTAACTTCTTCTAAACAGTTTAAACTTCTAAACAGTTTTTACTTTCTACTCATCAAAGAATCGTAGATCTAGTTAGGTGTTTAATAACGTTTAGGTTTTTGGCCTTGACCACAGCATAAGTTTAGTAGTAGACCTTCCCACATACTTTTTACCAGGCAAGTGGCACATTATTTTGACATGAGCGCAAAAAAAGAGCAGCAATAAAAGCAGCAGTAATAATGAAAACACATCATTATTCTGATACAGACTCTTAATTCACATATTTTCAATAAGTTTCTTAGTTCAGAGAGAGAGAGAGAGAGAGAGAGAGAGAGAGAGAGAGAGAGAGAGAGAGAGAGAGAGAGAGAGAGAGAGAGAGAGAGAGTTCCCTGCAGATATCGGCACATGTTTTAAAATGTGCTGAAAATAGCTTGATATCTTAGCTCAATTGGTTATTCAGACATGTTTAAACCATCAATCAATCTGAAAAAACAGAGATGTCAGTTCTACTGTCATTGCAACAGAATTAAATTCTGATTCGCAAGTAAATATAAAAGAGAGAGAGAGAGAGAGAGAGAGAGAGAGAGAGAGAGAGAGAGAGAGAGAGAGAGAGAGAGAGAGAGAGAGAGAGAGAGAGAGAGAGAGAGAGAGAGAGAGAGAGTCATAGTAATAGTAAGTTGTCATAGTAATCAGCTGTCAAGGTCTTTACGGGCAGAATGCGATCTATCTATGCATATATATAAATATACACACACGTATAGCGGAGAAAAAACTTCTTCCATCCTCAGAACAAAGTAAACCCCATCTGCAAAAGCATATTAATACAGCAATATTCTAATAAAAACAGCAGATTTTACCTGTTTAAATTCCCCTGAGCGCAGCGGTTCGTCTGCAAAAACAGTCCGAATCGCTCCAGTGCTCGATGATTAAGGTTCCGCCCAGATACTGCGAGCATTTACATTACAACTTAAGTCGAACCTAAATGTTAAATTACACTCTCAAAAAGCAATTTTGATGCAATATTAAGTTTTTACTTGGGAACTTGAAACATGGTAGTAACATCTTGTTTGTTCTTATAGTTATTAGCAGCTAAATATTTGTCCTTTAAACTATGTTGAATAGTATAAAGAGGCACCATCACCATCAATGTTAATGACCTGCCAAAAAAAGTTGACGCAAAGAATCAAAGTTCATTAAAATCACTCATTAACAGAGTCACACTTGCACATACACTGATTTACAAATACAAAAACAGACTCCAAAACTGATCTGCAGAAAATGTACAACTAAGTTAGCTTACAACTAAGCTAATAAACAAGCTGTTCTTGTCTTACATTCAAAGAATGTGTACAACATATGCGCACAAATAATCTCTTGAGCACAATCCTGTAATAATATTCCAAAATATAAGACGGAGAACCCTGACTCACAGTAAGCAATGTTATAAGTTGACTAAAGTTTGAAAAACTTACTGTAATGGAGCAGGTCTGTGGCCTTCGCTGCTGTGGAGTTCAGTGCTATGGTGTGTTTCTCTCTATAAACACATCTAGCTGATCAACCTTGAACTGTGGTTCAGAGTTTCAGCTGCTCTGATTGGCTTTTAGTATCTTCGCTCAGACATTTAGCAATGAGACTGCACTCCTACATTCCTACATTACACTGTATAAACCCTGTGCTAAAAATGCTTTTGAAAGACATATCCTGTGCCCACCAAAGCTGCATTTAGCTGACTAAAGATTTAGTGAAAATTGAAATATTATTCCCGTTTAAATAACTGCAGAGAATATGTTTTATTTGAATATATTTGTATTTTTTAGCATCATTAGTCTTCGGTCACAATTAACCTTCAGAAATCAATCTCTGCTGATTTAGTGCTCAATAAACTGTGTGTGTGTGTGTGTGTGTGTGTGTGTGTGTGTGTGTGTGTGTGTGTGTGTGTGTGTGTGTGTGTGTGTGTGTGTGTGTGTGTGTGTGTGTGTGTGTGTGTGTGTGTGTGTGTGTGTGTGTGTGCGTGTGTGTGTGTGTGTGTGTGTGTGTGTGTGTGTGTGTGTGGTGCAGATGGGTGGGTGTGTACTGAATATATATATATATATATATATATATATATATATATATTCAGTAATGATGCATTCAATTGGTCAATTGGAAAAAACGTTATACTCTCAAAAGTCAAAAGTAAGAAAAATATGTTCTTTCTTGACTTTGATTATGATTATGTAAAGCCACCTTTAGTTTTGGAGAAAGTTGTTATATAAATACTAATTATGATAGACTTAAATGGAGAAATATGTGTTTGGGTTCAGATGGTGTAGGCCTAGTTACAGCATCTAGCAGAAGGGGTCCAATAGGGTCAAATTAACTGATCAAACTTTGACCCACTGGTCCGACATTGCAATATTTTAATGTTTCACTGAACTGTCCAGATGTTATGTCTGTGCCCACTATAGTTCTTGCTGTATCCCATCCACTTCAATGATCCAAACTTCAGTGTGTTCAGAAGTGCTCTTCCTCAAAGATTTGTTGTAATATTGTATAATAATATTTCAGCGTATTTCAGGTTGTCGTAGAAGGGACAGGAATCCATTCATTACACAATCATTACAAATACACAACATAATACACAAATTAAATAAACAGCAGCATTCAGCCACATGTGTAACAGCACCATTCAAACAAGAAATTGAATAATATAAATAATAAAACACTGGACTTCACTGTGTAAATTATGTGTTGATTATTATTTAAGCTGTACTGAAGTTTTTCAGTGAAGAAAAGTTTTTAGTTTAAGCCCAATAAGATGCAGAAGATAACTTGGCAGCAGAACTGCAAAAGATAGAATGCACAATATTTCTTCTAAATCAGTCCACATGTTGAAAAGAACCGCAAAGTGGACCAAAACCTTGTCGCTTTTACATAAGAAATCGAACTACGAACGGACCCTCAAGGGAACGGTCTGAGTACGGTCTGAGATCACTTGCTTTGTTCACATCTAGCCAGCTACTTTCCCTAAAGCAGAGCTACCATTTGGCTAAAGATGTGTATGACTGTTGAGGCAATGCTGCCTTGCTGAGGCCTCGGAGCTCAGGTCGCTGCTACTTTACTGTTTGTTTCTTCTATGTCTTCCGTCATTCGGTTATTAATTGCCAATGGAAGAACAAAAGACCACACTGGTGTTGAGCTTAGTAATTTAATATGGCTGCTCTGTGGAATTCACGCTCTGCGGTACCTTTAATTGATTCAGTTTATTTGCCAGACCTATGTTCAAAAACACCATGCAAGACAGAACAAATACAGATAAACAGGGCAAAATACAAGTACAAGAACTAAAATGCATATAGACATTTCAGCCAATACTCTCAGTCTGGACGTGTACCCGGAGCAGCTCACTAAGGGATTTGAGAGTGCCACCATGATTCTGTTGGTAGACTCATCCAGACGTTGTAAGGACAACATCCTTTAACTTTTTAAACGCTGCATTACTTAATTTTACATTTTTTGAATGCCTTGCACTTAGTGTAACTGCCCCTCATGTTGCTATTGCTACTGTATGGTCTATTGACCTCTAAAACCAAATGTAGAATTGCTGTCAGAGTTTGCTTATTTTCTGACAAAGTCGTGTTTTAAAGTGCCTTCGAACGTGCAGCTTTGTATGATGCGTTGACGTAATTTCCACTGAAACAGGAAGCTAAGACGGGACATATTGAATGGCTCCTCCCCATTTTCAAATAGCCATTAGGGTTTAGTTTTCCTCACCATGGAAGCGCATCTGAGCACTGATGATACGTTGGATTCAATGGGTGTGAATATATTCTACCCATTTCATTCTTAATCAACGCACAGATGGAAAATGGAATAGAACTTGAACGTTTGAGTAACCGAACACACATCTCCAACCCATAATCCTCTGTCATGCGTCAACGGTCGCTTTGGCCAGGTGGTATTTATGTCATGGGGTGGGACACTTGAGAGGTTTTGATTGGACAGAAGATGTGATGAGAAGCTGGTCATAAAAATATGTGATCCCTTTTAGAGGAAGTGAGAGATTGTAAAGTTTTGAATACTTATTTCTCCTAAAAGCAAATTTTGTCATTGTTTTGTAACACACCAGCTTAATAACCTTAAAGGGGAAATGAAGCAGTGAATCAAGTTTACATGATTTACAAGATGGATTTCCAATATAATCAACAATTATATAAGGAACATTACAAATGTAAACATTTAGAAGAAAAAAAGAAAAAACTTTGTATCTTTCGCCGCCAGGGCGCCGCCATTGTGCAGTTGACGTCACGGGGTTGGTTGGCTCAAATTTAACAGGCTGGGCATTGAAAATCGCGACATCAAACTGTGTTTATACCAGTGTTTTGACCGTGAACGACTAATGTTAGGTACAGATATTAGACAAATAGATGACGTCTCATGTTATATGTTGACAAACTGCACATAGAAACATTGTTCGCGTCTGCCGTCAGATATTCCCGTCTCGTCAATAACATGTAAGTTAGCACGTATTTGTTAAAGTGGAAATGAAACGTCCATATTTTTGCACTGGTAGTGCTAGTAACGTTAGCTACAGCCTACATATACTAGGAAAAAGTGTCTCCGCTCTGACATCCTTCAGGGAAAGCATTCAATTCAATTCAATTCAAAACTTTATTTGTCCCCAAGGGGCAATTTGTGAGGCCACATATAGTAACGAAACATTATGCATTGTAACAACCTACGTTAAATAAATAACACAGTATAAATAAATACATATTAATGAATACCTAATATATTAAAAAATAACTAAATCAAGACAGATAATCAACAAGGGGCTAAAAATGGTTGAGAATTTAAAAGTTGCACTGATCTGGGAACAAAGGTTGCCTTCCTCCTTTGTGTCCTACAACATGGACAACGAAGCCGTCGCCGCGAAGGAAGCCACTCAAAAACAGAAAACATCACGTGTGATGTGTCCCGCAAGATCCTCCCTGCCAACCTCAGTGTCTGCTGTTCACTTATGCTAGAAAGAGACCTGATCGGGAGACCGATAATTTTTGAGCAGACTTTAACCGTGCGCTCCAGACTATTCCTGTTTTGAAGGCTTATAGAGTGAAACCAGCAGACGATGGAAAATGTACTGACACTTTCAATGTAGGAGTAGTAGAACATAGTGAGTAAGTTCTTACTAACTCCAAAGGAATTAAGCTTCCTTAAAAGATATTGCCGCTGCTGGCATTTCCTCAATATCTCCTCTTAGAAGTAAATTTTAACAGATTGTCAAAAATTGTCCCAAGGTACTTGTACTCCTCGACAATCTCTATAGGCTTCCCGTGAATAACTGTAGATGCTGCCATAGCCACCTGCCTCTGCTTATTAGAAAAGGTTACTACCATCTCTTTAGTCTTATCCAAGTTAAGCTCCAAACAGGAGATGTCACACCACTCAACAAATTCCTGAAGGGCTGGGCCATGATGCTGTGAAGGGCCTGAAAGCAGAGACAGTAAAACAGTATCATCGGCAAACTTAATTAGATGACAATTAGGTTGAGTAGATCTACATTCGTCGGTATACAGAATGAAGAGCAGAGGTGAAAGGACACATCCCTGGGGGGAGCCAGTTGAAGTATATCGGAGGTCAGAAAAGATACTGTTGACCAGCACTCTCTGAGACCTATTGGTTAAAAAATCAATTATCCATAAAATCAGTTGGTCCTCCAGATGAAAACGACTAGTAAGTCTCTCAGCTAGGATATGTGGCTGTAGAGTATTAAAAGCCGAAGAAAAATCAGCAAACAAAAATCTGGCTGTGGTATTAGGAGACTCAAGATGCTTGTGAACAATGTCTGTGACAAACACCTTTGCATCATCAACCCCTCTACCTGTGCGATAGGCAAACTGAAGTGGATCCAACTGTGAAGCAGTTTCTTTAGTGATGTAGTTTTTAATAATCCTCTCCATTGCCTTCATCACAAGAGAGGTAAGTGCAACAGGTCTCAGATCGTTGAAGGATTTTATGGAACTCTTTTTTGGTATCGGGATAACTGTAGAATGTTTCCATAGTTGAGGAACTACACCACTAGCCATAGATTTCTGAAATAGAGTCTGAAACACCCCCCCCCCCCCCCCCCCCAAC